ACCATAGAAGAAGCAAGGGAGGCATATGCTTTTCAAATTAAAATGGGTTGCTGTCGGACAACGTTTCAACAGGAGGATTAAATAGATGGAGAAATGGAGAAGAAGCTTTTTATGCTTAACGATGTTTGTAAAAGATTTAACAGAAATGCTTAATTGTCAAAATTACACAATAAAAGGAGATTAATTGTAACAATTGAAAGTATAAGGTGGTTTCTTGAAACATGATCTTAGTACAAGGGGGTAATGTACAATTTAGCCTAAATTAAATAAGCCAGCCTACAAGGCTGTAGGTCGGGCTTGACAAAATTGGCCTATGGCCTATTTGTTAAAAAAGCTTTTTTATAAGGCTAAGCCTACTCTACTTTTCTGAAAAGTCGAGCCTGGGCCGGGCTCAATGTAGGCCGGGCCGTAGGCTGGGCTGGGCCAGACTGGCCCATTTACACCCCTAACAATCAAGGCAGAATTGTGGGGTTTGTTATTGGATCTTCAATTATCCTTGGACAAAGGATATAAAAGAATTATTATTGAAGGAGACTCTCAAGTTGCTTTAAACATGGTCAGAGATGGCTGCTCCCCAAGTCATGGTTAGGAAGATTATATAGATGAGAAACCTTGATTGGCAAGTAAATTTTGTTCGTACGTTTATAGAAGGAAATACAATTGCTGATTGGCTTGCTGGATTTTCTCATTCTTTACGATGGAAGACCGTTTTATTAGAGACTCCCCCTCAAGGGTGTATAGGGGTTTGAGAGAATGATTTTAGGGGCGTTGCTCGGCCCCGGTTGACTAGGACTCTGTAGTTTTTTTGCTTTTCTTCTTTATAAAAAAAAAAAAAAAAAAGTACATTAGGGTCGTACCATTGTAGGTCCAAATACCTCTCGTTTAGGGCCTGGGCCTCATTTTCTTTCGGCCAGCAGAGGAGGAAATCTTCAAGCAAGTCACTTTACATTGTTAACCTCCAAATTTTGGTTTGCAATTATTGGTTTCCCTTTTCCTCAATTGCCTCAACTCCATATTTTGATTCCTCCGACAGAGACATCAATTGTGGAGGAATGAAGAATTCAGCGAGGATGGTGGAGTCGTATTTTTTTATAATAGGGGGAGAAATTAAAATTTTAAAATTTAAATATTATTAAGATTAATAGGAAATATTAACTATTATAAATATGTTTTAGGGAGGAATTAACTATTAGCTAGTACTAATAGCCTATTAATGTACATTTTTAAAAAATTTATATGCATAACATGACATAGAGTAAATTACAGTATTTAAAATTAAGTGGTTAAGAATTCAACTATTATGAACCTCACTTATATAATGAAAATAAATTTCAGCTTTAAATAGTAAAAAATTAGTTGAAATTTGAGGTCTTGGATGTGTAGAAAACAAAATCGAGGAGTTATTTAACATAAACATTTACACAGATGCTAATAAGGTTAGTAGCTTTAACCAATCAAAGAACATGCTAGTGTTTCAACTTTTTAGTCATTTCTTCATCTCAGTTCCTCCATAACAAAATAACAGGAAGGTAAAAAAAAAACTATTATAATTATATCGGTGTGAATTATGTGCTGAACGAAGAATGAAGATTATTTATATATATCGTTTTTAACATAAAATTAAATGAAAAAATTATTTCTGTTTTTACTACCAAAAAAAAATTATCCTGTTACGCTCACAGAAATGTGAGTGGATCCTATTGTAAAATGAACAGAGTAAAAATTAGTGGGCCCAATTAAAAGACATTTTCATATTTTATTCATAATTTTGAAACTTTTGATATCAGCCATATAGATAAATATTTAGTTCAAGTTTTTTTTTTTTTTTGGAGATTATTTAGTTCAAGTTTAAATTAACTTATTTTGCTTTAAAAAAACTTCATAGTGGAAATATTTTAAAGATAATATTTGACTAAAAGTGTTAAATATATCTATCATAAGAAAATTATTTGAATTTAAATAGTTATACGACTTAATTTTGTCTCATATATTTGTAATATAATTTTGATGTAATTTTGAACTTTATACAAATAATTTAGTAAGGAATGTAATTATATTTAATTTGACACATGTATTAAATTCTTTTAAGATATAAAGAGTAATATAGTATTCATCATCCTTGCTCTTTATTTTTATTTTGAAAAAAATAAATTTTTAATTTCATTTTAATTATATTATGATAATTTTTTCTTAAAGACATCATATCATATTCAAAATATTTATTTATTATTTCTATTTATAAATTTTTTCGCACATATTATATTAATATTTTAGTATAAAAAATAAAAATATATCATTATATATTATGTGAGCCTTGGGAATGTAACCACAAATAAACTGAAACAATTGGGATACTTTAGATTTAGCCGAGGTAATGCCTTGACGTTACTGATTTAATGGACAAGAAAATTTTATTCCAAAGTCATGATCAAAATCTTTATTTTTGAGATGATGATTTATTTTTTACGACAGAAAAAAGGCGAATTAGTTAAACGGAATAACTAACTGGGCCTAATAAATGCGCCCATTACATCGCAGATTGTTGTAAATACTTGGGCTTAGTACCCTATTTCTTGGGTTTGTTATGTCTTGGACCCGAATGCTGTAATTAGATGGCAGAGTGACAGTAGTGGACAAAACTGGCTAAGTGATTCTCAAAACTGGTGATGCTGTAATTTGTTCACTCGAAGTTTTTGGTAGAGAAAAAAAAATTGTGGTGTTTGAGAATCATGATTTTTAGAAATATGGTAGAAAAAAGAAATTATTTGAAAATATTACAAAAAGTTATTTAGTATGACAAAATATTACTGGTATTATTTAGTTAAATTTATTGAGTCTGCATTTGATTGATTGTGAAATATTACTCTCTCTTTTTTATTCACAGTCACTAGTTACTTATGAGAAGAAGAAAAAGGTCTAGGAGCTCTTTCCTTTGTAGCTGATGAAAGAAACCAAAAAGAGAAAAAAAAAATTTAAAAATGCTGGAAAAAGAGTGTAGCTAGGCCAAGTAACTTTAAATCGAACTCCAATTTTCTTCATTATTTGTCTCTTTAATTTGTTTCGATCACTGTCTGTATTTCAAAGAAGGGTCCAAATCAAAAAGCATTGAAGCTTCCCCTCTCTAATCTCCAAATCTTGTTAATGGTGAGAGTAGCGTGTCTTTATGGGATACCCTCAAATACTGAAGAGGTGATAGACAAGAAGAGAGAAGTTAATTAGGCATTGTCACATGTGCTACCGACAAATAGCTTTGTTATAAGTATGCTTGTGGAAGGAAATGGTAGATTTATCCAAATATTTTGGTGTGAAAATCCCATCATCCAGTATTCTAAAAGTATCACCTCTTTGATGCTATTTTAGAAAGGAAAATTTCAACACAATTTCTTATGCATAGATAAAAATCCTGGACAAATTAAATATCCGAGAAAATTTTGTGAAAACTCTTATTAAACATGAATAAATACGAATCTCAAATTCAATTTCCTGGTATTCTAAAAAAATAACTCCTATCAAACGCCCCTATATTATTTTCAAACATTTCTTCCACATTTTGGTTACGTCTCCCAATGCAGCAATTCCTGTTCCTATGTGAATTGTTCTATACGAGATCATCAATTTTATGTCAATTGTTCTACACAATACTCAGCCTATGTTGTACACTCATTTATTTTATTTTATTTTATTTTCACTAAATGTTATTTATTCTTTAATTTAAGTCCCAATAACTTGCGAACATGTGTTTGATTTTTTTTAATTTCTCTTCTTCTTCTTATAAATAGAAATTATATCAAACAATTTTTTATAAAAGTTCTTATATTAAAAGGAGTTATTTTATAATGAAGAAAAAAAATTAAAAGTTAAAATCTCCTAAAAGGAACTTTTTTTAAATTATATCAAATTATTTTTAATTTGAACTTTTAAATAACTTTTGAGATAAGATTATTATATAATCAACAAACAACTTTTAACTTTAACTTAACAATAATTTTTAATTAAAAAAAAGGGTCAAACTAACTGAATAATTTGTTCTATCAATTGTTTTGTATATAAGAATCCATGAAAATTCCAAGCAAACAAAGCTTGACCCACATCATTTATACTGTCTACCTTACCCCACTCACGTTTTTTTTTCTAATAATTTTTTTAATTTAAATTTGAGTTAGGTCTAGGATAAGCTCACTAATGTATTTATATATATTGTATCTCTTGTATCAATTCAATACACATAAATTTATTTCAATATTCATTCCATCACTTGTTATTAAATAGGATCATTGTATTTCGAAATAATATCAATTTTGAATTTTTTTTTTCCTTTATGCTTATTATGCATATCGGTCAGTCAGTCTCCACTTAGAGTCAGAGTTTGATTGGAAAAATAAAAGGGCACTGATATTTGGCAAAAGGACTCAGGAAGCTCCTATATCACAGTATGACAGTCCTTAGATGTTGTCCCTGAGTAGAATGATTTTTTCTGTTCCTTTTTGCTTAACTGAGTTTTTCTTTGTCATTCCTTTTCTGTTGGGAATCTCAGTGGAAGGAAGGTCTATGTAAAAGTTCTGTTTTTATATTTTTTTTATAAGGATATTGTGACAACCAAGTTGTGTTACTACCAAGTTACTATCAATCAATCTTATTGTTAGATCGGTTATATTGATCTAACGGTTATATTTATTTCCATCTTTGTATGGTTATGATTTGTCAAATTTAATACTTTATATTTATTTTCACCTTTGTATGGTTATGATTTTCCATATTTAATGTTTTCACTTTAAATATGGGAAATAAATATAACCGTTGGATCAACATAATCGATTTACGGTGAGATTGATTGGTAGTCACTTGTAGTAACACAACTTGGTTGTCACAATATCCCTCCCTTCTTTTATTTAAATTTGTTGATTATATATCATATGAGTTAACCCTAACCCTAACCTAAATCGGTGTTGAGATGAAAAAACGGGGGGAAGGAGCGATGGAGAGTAAGCTCCATGGGGATTTGATAGAAGAAATTATGTTGAGATTACCTGTGAAATCCCTTGTTCGATTCAAGTGTGTGTGTAAGTCATGGCTTTCTCTAATTTCTAATCCTCATTTTGCAAAATCGCATTTTGAACTATCTGCCACACCCTCAAATAGAGTACTCTGCGTAGCATCTTCTGGTAGCGAAGCTCTATCCATTGATGTTGACGCATCGCTTCATGATGATTCTGCTCTTGTGAGCCTTGTTTCCCCGCGTCCACAGCCTGGTGAACCTGTTGCGATTTTTGGTTCGTGTAGAGGTTTCTTACTTTTAGGAAGAGACGAAAACCCTAATCTCTATCTGTGGAATCCATCAACTGGTTTCCACAAACAACTATCGTGCCCTGAGATTGTAAGAAAGAAATATATTTATCCGCAGCCATACCTTATTGGTTTTGGATATGACCCTTCCACTGATGACTACTTGGTAGTTGTGTTATGCCAGGACGATTCGGTGTTTTTCTCTTTCAGAACCAATTCATGGAAAAAATTCAATACTCCCTTTCAGCATCGCCTCTATCAATATCGAGTGATCTATACTCGATCTGGATTGTTCTTTAATGGTGCTATTCATTGGTTGGCTCACTCTCCTATTAAAATTAAACATGTATTGGTTAATGTAATTATTGTCTTTGATTTGATAGAGAAGAATTTATCCCAGATATCTTTGCCAAGATCTTATTTCTCTGATCGTGTATTTCGTCATCGTTTGTGTATAATGGGAGGGTGTCTTACTCTATGTTGCTGGGACGTTGATTCAACTTACGTGTGGATGATGAAAGAATATAAAGTGGAGTCATCTTGGACTTTGTTTGTGATTCATAATAGGAAAATTTCACCTCTATGCTTTGCCAAAGGTGGTGAACTTGTTGCATTCAGTTGTCATTCTGAATTGAAATTTCACGATAAGGGAAAGTTTCTAGAACTGATGAAATTTAATGATGAGGGAAATTCTCTGGAACTGATGAAATTTAAAGACAAGGGAAATTTTCTAGAAAATGGCAAGTATTCTTATGATATTTATCCGTGCATGGCAGCTATGCATACAGAGAGTCTGCTGTCACTCCCGAGTGACTGTGGTGTAAGCATGAAAACACCACCAACAGAGACAAACCAGAAGAATTGCGGTATGTAATGTTCTCTAATTCTTTTGACCATTTAATTCCTATTTATTGAGAATTGTGAAGTTATGAGAAATGATGAGTTTTGGTGGGAATTTACCAATGTTGTGGAAAATAAATCACCTGGTGCCTTTTGCTGTAATTTATTGTATTTAGGTGCCTTTTATTTTCTATAATTTAATTTTAATGTGATACCTCTAACTTTGACTTGAACTTATGGAGATATATGATGATATTAATCAGGTGACATATAATATTGTTGATTTTAATAATCTGAAAGGCTTGAAACCATTGATGATGTGATTTGAATGATTTTTCTTGTCCTTTTTTTGTAACTTGTTCATCTCTCTATTCGTCTTTCAACTGTTGATTGTACAACTTATTATCTTAAAAACTGGTGATTATCAGTCTTGTGTCTCTTGTTGCTTGGCTGTTGGTGAAGAATTAAAATACAATCTGAGTTTCTGGAATTGGAATTGTTGCTCTTTCAAATCCTTTGCATTGTACATTTTTTAATTTAGCCAATGTAGAATGTAATATTGCAAAATAGTTGTAAACTTTTTCTATTTCTTCTACATGACTCTTCAAGTTAAAATTGTCAAACTCGAGATCCTACATACCTTATTATGCCTTATATTTTTTGTATGTGAATATATATATATATATATATATATATATATATATATATATATATATATATATATATATATATAGTCTCGATCTTGAATATAGTTTTATGTAATAGTTAGGATCTCACATTTCATGTTGCGATCATTTTACATTTCTGCATAGCTTGTCTGATTCTAGGCAGGATTTATCAGTTTGATGACTACTTAAGTAATTTATGTATAATAACATCTTTGTATGGAATTCATTAGCTGTTGTCTATTTTCTACAAACTAATATGATGCATGCTCTATTGTTATGTGGAACATCCTGTGTCTTAACATTTCTTTTTTTTTATGCAGAAGCTGGGGAGATAGTTCAATCATGAACGAGAACGGTTAGGATTTAGGAATGAATCTTCTGCAATGGATTTTTAAGTATTTAGAACTGTAGATTTATATTGTCTATGCATACATTCTCATGAAGTCAAGGTACATTTTGATTAACTCGCAAGTTGCATACAGTTCAAGTGTTTAAGTTACTTTATTCTATTTTTTGGCCTTTGGATCATTGATAAATTAATGCTCTATCATGAATTTGTTCGGTTGGTTTATGTTCCTAATTGTTCTACCTATGCTGCTCTAGCCTTTTTCCGGGCTCATTGTCTTTTGCTTAGAACATGCTTAATGGACCTTTTTCTTTTCTTTTTTCTGTTTGAATGAAAATTTATGCATGTTCATTCTATTATTGATAGGACTCGGTTTGGTTTTACGAGAGAAAAGTAAAATATTTTTTTTAATAATGTGAAGAAGGAAATTCTTAAAAAGTTAATTTTAATTTAATGACCAAAGCTGCACTTTCAACTTTTATAATTGTTGTCATATTGTTATCTACATTATTTTAGAATTTAGCATAAAAGCATTTGGTGGTGTTTGGTTGGGAGCTTTTCAGCGGATATCTATGTTTCTCAAGTATGACTTTTAGAAACACCATGTTTGTTTCAACGTATTTTCACCAAAAACCCATCTATCCAATTTGTATGGATTTATGAGAAACATAGATATCCGCACTGTTTAGAAACCCAATTTGAAGGTGGGATTTTTCAGAAAACCGGTTATCTGGCTTTTAATGCACTGTTGATTTCATAAAGTTACCTAATTTTTCCAGTAAAGTTTTTCCCCACCAAACAACTTTTTTTTACATTTTTCTACCTATCTCACTTTATCTATCTTTCCAATCATTTCTCTATCTATTATACTATTCCAAAAAAATTTCCTCAACCAAACGTCCCCTTATTGTTATTCTAATTTGCGAGCTACTTAAGCTGTTAAATTCAATTTTTATGCAGGTGTTTTGAGTATTGAATTGATTGGTTTTTCCTTCAGAAGTCTCTGTTCTTTAAAATTGAGCTTTGTTGCATGGTACAATAGACAATTACATTGTTCCATAACCTTTGCTTATATAATTTTTTGTTTTAGACCATGAAATGTCTTCGTACTTTTAAATGTCCGACATGTTCCATGATACGATGTTGATGTGTGGTGAGGAAGGGTTCGGAAAAAATTAGGGTTAACTGGTAGATAAGAGGCTTAAGATTTAATATAAAGAGTAATGGGAATGAAAAATGTATTAATGGCCGATCTCAAGATTTGTATGCTGGGCACTTAAATGATATCATATATCTGAATTCTTCCGTCGAAAAATAATTTCGAAGTTAGTTCTAAGTCTCACTATGGCACCCTGATCTCGTCTATTGCAAGGCCGAGTAAATATTTTTTCAAAAAACACAATAATTTGACCTAAAACCATAATTCTTACTTTTCTGATGTGATCTTTCAGAATCCTTGTAAATTAATAAAAAATATTGAATTTATTATCAACAATGATATCGTCATAATTGATTTTTCTTTTCTTTTCCATTTCGTCCAAAGAATTTAAAAATTTGATATCATTTTTTTTTGGTAGGCTAAAATTTGATATCATTTAAGTTGTGAATGACGTGGTGTATATAATTTCATAATTACTTAAATGCTGGAGTTATTCGTTAGACATTTTAATAATTATAAAAGGATTCTGAATTGTTGTTAAATAATACTAAATATTTGAATTTATATTAGCAAAAAGGTAAAATAAATTAAATCTTAAATTATCATTATTAGTAATATATTTATTATTTTTAATTTTTTAAGAATTTTGAATCTTACACTACATAAATGAAAATTATATACAATATTAATCATTATATGAAAAATTAAATTTGATATGAATTTCTAAGTACTAATAAATGCATTGTTTATAATATTAATTAGGAGAAGGTTATATTTACAAATCTTTTGTTTACAAATTCTTACAAATTACACTAAGTATAACCAGTTATACATCAATTCAAGAGTGTATGACCGGTCATACTTAGTGTAATTTGTTTTTCAAATTATGTAAATAGATTCTTTCCCTATTAATTATTATATAATAATAATTATTTATTACAATAATTGACATTTATGCAGGACGAGGGGATGGAAGTGAGAGAAATAATAAAATTTAGGATCAACAAATAAGATCGTGACAGTCTCGCATCATCCCATATGAAACCAATCTCGCATCTCCTCGTGAGGGACTGATTGCATTAAATCGGTTAATACTTTAAATATTATCTGAAATCAGGTTTTTTTTTTAATATAAATATGACCTACGATGGTCCTGATGTTCTAGAATGTTTAATTGGGGTTTGATTTTCTCATGTTAAATGAGAATTTAATTCTCATGTTGTAGAGATAAAAAGCAAGTGGGACTCAAGTGTTAGAAAAAATTATATGTAGGACCCATGTCAGCAAGAAAATCGAAGGGTGTGTAGGAAAATTTGAATTCTCATGTTAAATGAGAATTATAAAACCCATGTTTAATTAGTGAGAGAATCATTATCACATAAATGATGATATGTTTAAAAGGATCATGCAAGTAGGTAGTATATTTTTTTTCTAGCTTGTTTTAATCCATTTAGATGATGTTAATTCTAGGGGTGTGCATGGGTCACATTGGTCAGGTTTTTGTGCCGACTCGACCCAACTTGATTTTTATAAGTCAGGTATTTTGACCCGACCAGCTATAATTTGATCCAAGTCAAGTTTGACTTGGTTTGAATTTTTTTGAACTAGTTCAGAACCGGATCGAATCTGACCTGACTTGGTTTCTGAAGTGGGTCTGACTTGATTTCTGAAGTGGGTCAAATCTGACCTGATCCGTTTTTGACTTGGTTTCACAAAATTTCGTCGAAATTTCTACATTGTAAACGACGAAAATTTCGTCACAAAATTATTTTTTCGTCAAAATACTTTTTGTCGAAAAGCGACGAAATTTTTTCTCTAATGAAAATTTTTACAAAAATAAATTTTCTATCGAAATTTAGTTTCCGCCAAAAGTTTTGACGAAAATGATTTCCTTCATCAAATGTTTTAAACGAAAAAAGAATTTCGCCAAAAATTTTGACGAAATGTTTTTCGTTCAAAATTTCGATAGGAATGTGTTCTGACGAAAATTGTTTTAAGGGAAATGTTTCATTTGAAACTTTCGACGAAATTTAGATTCTCTAAAGAATTTTGACAGAATATTTTTTCCGTCAAAATTTTTTATCAAAATTTTTTTACGAAATTTTTTGACAGAAATGTGTTCCGTTGAAAATTTTGATGAAAATATTTTTTATCGAAAAACTTGACGAAAATATTTAGTCAAAAAATTTCGATGGAAATGTGTTTCGCTAAAAATTTCGATGAATTTTTTTTTTTTTGTCAAAAAGTTTATAGAAAATATTTTCATCGAAAACTCTCGCCGAAATTTGAATTTTGTAAAGAATTTTGATGGAATTTTTTTCCGTCAAAAAATTTCGATGGAAATGTGTTTCGTCAAAATTTTTGATGAATATGTATTTTTGTGAAATATTTTGACAAAATTTAGATTCCTTAAAAAAATTTGACACAAAAATTTTTCTGTCAAATTTTTTTACAGAAATATTTTTAGTCACAAATTTTGTTGACAATATTTTCCGTAAAATTTTTTGACGTAATTGTATTACGTTAAAAGTTTTCTTTTATTGTAATTGTAATTGTAATTTTCTTTTTCTTTTTTTTCACATAATGGGTATGGGTCAAGTTTTGGGTCAATGGGTCATTATTAAAACAAGTCAGGTCTAAAACTGACCTAAATAAAAGTGGGTCAGTATTTAAACCCAGTTCAATAAAATTAGGTATTTATGGGTCAGGTCAAGGCCAGGTCAAGGACAGAGCAAGTGAACCAGTTTTTTTGCACACCCCTAGTTAATTCCTTTCGTAGTATAGAGTGCAAATATTTTTACAAGCGGCCTCAATTTACTTTGACTGAAATCGAATTAAAGACTTTTCAACCCCATGAGTCCGCTCTTTGAGCACGTCTCACTCACCAACTATATCACCCATTAGGATTAATACCTAAGTGTCATAAAAATCGGACCGGACCGGCCGGGTCAAATCAGAAATCGGTAAACCAGTCATGTGACCCGTCCGGATAAAGTAATAGATCAGACATGCAACAAATCGGTGTGACCCGGTGTGTACCACAATAAATCGGTTGGTTTTACTAAAACTGGTGACTCGCAGAGTCAAAAATAAACAATATAAGGGAAGAAAAAACGTCGAAAAAAATAGAACGGTGGCCGCCGGGGATGGCGGAGATGACTTGGCCGACAATGGGGTCCACCAGGGAAGGCCACACGGTGGTACAGATGTCTCGCCAGAGATTTGGTTAGTGCAGAGGCGGCGGAGGCGATAAGATAAAAAGACAAAGAAGAAGAAGCATTTTAAACTTGTTGATACTTGAACTTGTTAAAGAGACGATAGCTATTTAAAAAAAAAAAAAAAAGAGACGATGAGGCAACTATGGCAAAGAAGAAGAAGCAGATAAAGAGACGATAGCTATTTTTTAAAAAAAGAAAGAAAGAGAGATGACAGCTATTTTCAGAAAAGAGACGAAAGCGTGATAAAAACGAAATTGGGATGGGTTTGCTGTAAGAGTGAACTGAAATTGTTGTTTCTTTCAAGTTTTTGTACTTTGCATTTATTATGTTGTATCGGAAAACGAAATGTAATGAATTGCATTTAATGCATTGTAAAAGTGAAGGAGTAGTTTTTTTTATGAATGGAACGACACTTTTGCATGTTACAACTTTTTTAAAAGTTTATTACACTTGAAGGAGATTTTTTTTTGCAACCAGTGTTGTTATTACACTTACAATAAAAAGCAGTGTTAAGAAACCCGAACTGACCCGGCCGGGTCGATCTGGGAATCGGTACACCTGTCATATAACCGATCCGGTTGAAGCAACAGATCGATCATGTATCAGAACCGATGCGACCCGGTCTGACCCGACTGATTTTCATGAAAACCGGTGTCTCTGTCGGTTAACCGGTGACCCGGCCCGGTCCTAAAAAAAAAATCCAATTTTTTTTTAAAAAAAAAAATCATAATGGATATATTTGAATATTCTTTTGCTTATTGACTTACATAAGTTATGTACCTACAACATTAATATTATCTCAATTATGCAATATGCAGAAAATTTT